AATAGTCTAGACCAGTGTTTCTCAACTTTTTTTTATAAAGTACCCCTTTACAAAAATTATAAGTACCCCCTTTAAAAAAAAAGTACCCCCAGTACCTACAGTTTTCAGACACAAAGATTTGTTTCTACCATTGCAACACATTTGTTTAAATAACTTAATCATAGCTGGGATGGCGATGAAATTTTTGGAAGCAAAAAGTACAAAAATAATAAAGTGCTGTAAAACTTAAAACAAAAATTCAGTTTTTTCCAAATTTCAGCTGAGCTGACATACCTCCTAGACTTCTCTTGAGTACCCTAAGGCTACGTCTACACTGGCATGATTCCCTGTTTGCGGAAAAGCGTCCGTGGTCAATCTAGATGCACTTTTTCCGTAAAAAAGCCCTTATTGCCATTTTCGCGATAGGGGCTTTTTTGGGGAAAACAGTACTGTGCTGTTTACACTGGCCCTCTTGCGCAAATGATTTGCGCAAGAGGGCTTTTGCCCGAACGGGAGCAGCACAGTATTTCAGCAAGAACACCGACGATCTTACATGAGATCGTCAGTGTTCTTGCGGAAATTCAAACGGCCAGTGTAGACAGCTGGCAAATTTTTCCGCAAAATCAATGCGCTTTTGTGGGAAAAAGCCCCGATCGCCATTTTAGCCATCGGGGCTTTTTTGCACAAAACAGTACTTACTGTGCTGTCTACACTGGCCGTACTGCGCAAATGATTTGCACAAGAGGGCTTTTGCCCGAACGGGAGCAGGAAAATGCAAGTGGCCAGTGTAGACAGCTGGGAAGTTTTTCTGGAAAAGTGGCTGATTTTTCTGGAAAAACTGGCCAGTCTAGACACAGCCTGTTAGCAACAGTGGAAATGTGTGTTTTAAGAATGTAAAACTAAGATCTTAAGATCAAAGACATTAGTATTTATAGTTAGCTTCTGTAATACAAACACCCAATTTCATGAAGTTTACATCTATCGTGAATGGAAGTTTGTCCCCACCCAAACTTTAAATTCTATTTTTTTGAATTGTGCAAAGCTGAAATCAGCGGGATATTTGTTTTGCTGTAAGATCTGGCCTTTATCAGGACACTGATGCGGAGCTGGAGTTGCTAAGTCGCCCTACTGTGGAAGGAGCCTCAAACTGTGGAGTAGCCCGTCCTCGTTGAGAGCCGCGCCTCCCTGGCATAGGACAGGTCTGCGAGCTGCCCGCAGGCAGACGTGCCCGTTCTGGCCGCGGTAGAATCAAACTCTTCCCCAGGCGGGCCCGTGATTGGTGCTCAAAGCCAAGTTTTGCCAGCTGGCCCTGCGCTCCCGGCTTGGAGCGCTGCGCCGCGCGCCATCGGGGCCACCGCCCCTCGCAGCAGCGCGAGCGCCAGCAGGGCTCGACCGCGAATGACATCACGCAGCCTGGCAACCGGCCCAAGAAACCCCCGTCACTTCCTGATTGGCTGAGCGCGCTGGCCAATGGGAGCAGGCAGAATGTCTAGCGTGTCGTCCCGCAGAACTCTCGCGAGATTGAGGTCTCGGGTGTCGTTGGCTGGAGGTGAGCGCGCGCAGAGGGAGCTGCCATCATGTTGCAGGCG